CGGGCTATCGCATAGCCACCTGCGTCTTTTGCGCACTCGTGGAATAATTGTTAAATGCCCAATCGAAAAGTGACCCATCATAATCGATTTTGAAGTTTTATTTGCTTTTCCTTTTAGTTGCTTTGAATAGAGATACTGACAATAATACTACAGAGACCTCGGCTGATTGATTTTGAGGAAGCGACTTGATTGACATGTCGCCGAATTTCTTCACTCTTCAATTGGCTTTCTCATTTAGTTATTTGTTTGTTTGCTTGTTTGTTTGTTGTTTGTTTTTTTTTTTCAACAGATGGTGCTAATTTTCCGATAAGTGTTGTTTACAAGGCCGCAAGTCGTGGTACACAGTGGGAAGATACCGTGGTTGTGAATATGCTACAGGAACCCAAGGACATCTTGCAAGAATTAACATCAGTAACTGTCAACCCTTTAAAGGGACGATCAATTGCCAAAACAGGTACAAAATAACGAGAAATGGAAAGCGCTTGGGGTGCTGCAAATGTGAATGTCGGTAACAAAACACTTGCATGTTATGTCCCACCAGGCGATTATTACGATCTCTTTCACAACTGCAATCTTTTGCGAGTAACGTAATTAATAGGATTTTTCATATTTCATATTTTCTATCTTTGATGTTTGTTTTTAACTTACACACTGTTCAGTATCCTATATTTTAAAACCCCTTTTAGCGAGCAGCTCTAAATATATAGTTTCCGTCTATCTGACTCTATAACAACAACAACGACCTTTATTATTACATCCAAATGGAGAATTTTACATTTTTCGATAGCTATAATGAAAAAAAATGAAGAAATTGTGACATAAAATTATGCATTATGATAACAAGGATGTCTAGGAGCTAAATTGACAAACCTTTTTGGTGCAAGCGCCTAGCTATGAAATTATATTTTTAACGCTGTATTGATAGGTAAACTTGTACTAAAAAGAAGAAAAAATCAGTAGATGTTGTCTTAGCAAGCGTGGAAGGGAAACTTTTGGAGGTCTTTCAAATGATAGGGAAGATCTTTCCAGAGCTATAGATTGGACTTGACTCAGTTTTCAATATTCGTTCTTGTTTCGTCGTTTATAAAAGTTCTGTATAAGGGCATATCGTGTATTACAATTATGTACCTGATCGGCATACTGGAAATAATTCTGACAAATGCTTGGCAACTCCTTTTTGTACCATCTAAACGCAAATTTGTGCCATCTGAAGGCAAACAGATTTCACTGACAATGTGTTGAGTAGGTTCATGAGAGGAAGAGTGCTTTCTGTTTTTTTCCTGTGAGTTACGGCGAAGAACAGTACTCGAATTACTGTATTTTGCTTTGGACTTTGTTGATCCGTGATTGATAGGCACTACCACATGCATGCTAGTATGGCATACGAAATAAGTGGAAAATATGAGGTTATAGTATAGCTGTTTGGGTTGGGATGGGGACATGTAGTACCTTAATTTATATAAAATGCCTGTATTTCGAGCGATTCTCGAACAGATGTACTCTAAGTGGTATTCAATTATTATTAATTATTTCAAGCTTTATTGGGCAAGATCAAGACAGAATGAAATATACAAACATGATAAAAAAAAGAAAAGAAAGAAAGAATTAAAGCCCAAAAGGGAAGGGCACGAAGGGGACACTTCGACCCATGCGGGGTGCCCGCCCAGGGGAAATAAAAGAATTTGAACTATATACAAAAAAAATAAAATCTAGTTGTTGTAAAAGAAAAATCTAATTGTGAAAGGTTTAAACCCACGATTCATTTCATAAGTAGGTTGAGTTTGATGGTCCGGGTGAACGTAGTCCTGAATAGGACTGTTGTTGTTGACAGTGACTGACGTTTCGACAACCTGTGCTGTAGTCATCTTCAGAGTCAAAGTGAGTTTTATCACGTCTGTAGATGGTATTATACTCTAGTCATTGACCAGATTGGTCAATTAAGTCGCGATGTCATTGGTCGCCTGTCAGTGAAGACGTGATGTTATTGGCTCTGAAGACTCGTAATATCATTGGTGCGTTTCGATCCGTCTATTGTCATGATTGAACAGTCGTTTATTGTTAGTCAAATTGTCAGTTGCCCAGTCGTTGTCTCATAGTTAGTTTTGCTTGATTCCGTCAACAAGTCGTTTGTACGGTGCGGATAACTGTGGACTACGATTCAGTGGCGTTTTTTCCACGTTAGTAAACCAGCTTTCTAAAGTGAGTCGTTGATAGTAGTCTGTAGAATACGTAATACATGCGTCAGAGTTCCAGTCGATTTGATGTTTCGACTGTAAATGGTGATCAGCAATATGATTTTTGACGTCTCTATTTTTCGTCGCTTGTGTGTGTTCGGTCAGTCGCGTGCTAAAGTTTCTGCCGGTTTCACCAATGTAAGTAGCCAGTAGTTAGTAAAATGGGTATCCTAACGACGACTTCGAATATTTCAAAAAGTAAATCTAAAATCCCAGATTATGCAAGGGATTATAGAAATGAATATCTTTTTATAAGAGGGATTGATAAGACATGTGGGGAATTTTTAAAGAAATTTGATGAAGAAGAAATATTTAAAATTCCCCAAGCTGATAGACTTATAAGACATATTAATAGACTTTTTAAAGCAGAAGAATTAGGATATCTTAATGATATAAGTGAAATAAATTTTTTAGAGAAGGATATAAATGATATAGATAGTTTATTATTACAATTAGATGATTATAGGGATTTATATTGTGATCCAGATAGTTATGAGTTTGATGGGGAAAAGTATAATAATAACATAGAAAATGATTATCCAGGTTTTAAAGAGTTATTTGAATGTGTTTCTCCATTAATTGACAAATTACAAATAGATATGGATATAACTAATAGAATAAATTTTGATAGTGATAGTGATAGTGATGATGGAGTGTGAAGATTCAGAGTCTGATAGTGATAGTGATTAATTATAATTTAAAGTCTTATAATATAAATATAATATTATAAGACGTCATGTCTAACCAATCAATTGATGGTTTTCTGGGTTCTCAACCTTTTATAACTGATAAGCAATATCAGAATTTATCTTTGGCAGAATTAAAACATATATTAGAAGAAGAAAAAGAAAGTCTTAAGAAAAATTATAAAGAATTAGATGAGAGAAAAAAAATAATTAGATATATTAAAAAAATGAAAAAACTTAATGAAAAAGTAAAACAAGGTGTAGATATACTAAAAGAAAGGAAAAAACCAAAAATCAAAAAACTTAATGAAAAACCAAAAATCAAAAAGATAAAATCATTTGAAGAATATTTTCAGGAATGTATAGAAAATAAAGAATTCCCCGCAGATACTCCTCCTTATTTTAGTGAAGCTCTTGAGAGAGCTAATAAGGAATATCAAAAAGGACTTGTAAAAGAAAAATCAGCTTTTGAAAATTTTGCTAATAAGTATATTATTGAAGGAGATCCTGATCTTACTCCAGTTGAATATTTTAATAAAATTTATGCAACTTTAAAAGATTTTTTTACATATCATCGAAATATTAAATTTAGTATGATTTTGGTTTGTTTAATGGAACAACAAATACTTAGTAAAGATAAGGGAGTTGTTGGATTAAATGAAGATAAAGCATACTTTAACTCAGGTACACATATTAATCTTGAATCAACAAATGTAAAGAAATTAATTGATAAGTGTGTTAAAAAAATTATTGAAGATTTAGAGATATTTCAAAAAAATGGAAGTGGATGGTATTTTAAAGAGGTGGTTCAACTTGAAATTCATACTGTTGAGAATGGAGTGATGAAGGGGTCATCTTATATTCCTCTTCCAGATTGGATATCAAATAAAAAAGCAATAGTTAATATTGAAAACAAAGACGAGAAATGCTTTCTTTGGTGTGTACTGAGATATCTTCATCCTAAAGAAAGAGATAGAGAAACATGGAGAGATTTAAAGAAGTATGAGAAATCTCTTAACACCAAAGGAATTGATTTTCCTATGAAATTAAAACACATTTCCAAATTTGAAAAACTTAATCCATTTCTTCCAGGAATAAATGTTTTTTCAGTTAATGAAAACAAAAAGTTTTATCCTTTGAGAATGGCAGAGAAAGACTGTTTAAATACTATTGACTTGTTTTTTTTATGAACAAGATGGTGTTTCCCATTATTCACTAATTAAAAGCTTTACTCGTTTGGTTAAATCGCAAATAACTTCAAGTAAGAATGGTTCATTTTATATTTGTAAGAAATTCCTTTGTAGTTTATGCAGATTTTGAATGTTTTACCAAGCCAATGAATACTTGCAGCCCTAACCCGGAAAAATCATATACTTACAATTATCAAAAGCATGAACCATCAGGATTTTGTTTTTACATTAAAGGAATAGATCCTAATATAACATTTAAACCAAGTCTTTTCACAAAAACTAATAGTGATGATAATGTTTCTGCGTTATTTGTTTATAAACGTAAAAAAGTAATAAATAGTATACATAATGATTTTTATTGTCGCCCAATGCCTCTTAAATTAACACCAGCTGAACAAATATCATTTGATAAAGCGGAGATATGTCATATTTGTAAGAAAGAATTACTTACTGATAAAGTTAGAGATCATTGTCATTTTACTGGTCAATACCGTGGAGCTGCTCATAACAGTTGCAATCTCCAGTGTCGAAAACCAATGATTCTTCCAGTTATATTCCATAATCTTCAAGGGTATGATGCACATTTATTTATAAAACAACTTGCTTGTTTACCAGGATAGTTAAACTGTATTCCATCAACAGAAGAAAAGTATATTTCATTTTCCAAAAAGATTAAAGTTGATGAGTATAAATCTAGAAGCACTGGAGAAATGGTTTCATTGTATTTTGAATTAAGATTTATTGATTCATTCAAGTTTCTTTAGTCAAGTCTTGCCAATCTTGTTGGTAATTTACAACCAGATGACTTTCATAATACAAAAGAAATATTCAGGGAAAATGTAGAGTTATTAACTCGTAAAGGAGTTTATCGTTATGATTATGTTTCCTCAATGGAAAAACTATCTGAAACACAATTACCTCCAAAAGAAGAATTCTATTCAAAACTAAATGATGAAGGTATATCAGATGATGATTATCAACACGCTATTAATGTCTGGAATACATTCCAATGTAAAACAATTAGAGATTATCACAATCTTTACCTAAAGTCTGATGTTCTATTACTAGCAGATGTATTTGAGAATTTTCGAAAAACTTGTTTAAAGCATTACAATCTGGATCCAGCACATTACTACACATCTCCTGGTTTGGCTTGGGATGCATGTCTCAAAGAAACAGGACAAGAATTAGAATTGTTGCATGATTATGATATGTTGATGATGTTTGAAAAAGGTATTCGTGGAGGAATATCTCACATAACAAAAAGATATGCAGAAGCGAATAATAAATACATGAAAGATTACGATCCTGATAAACCTTCTAATTATATTCAATACCTTGATGCAAATAATCTTTATGGATGGGCTATGTCACTATCATTACCTACTCATGGTTTCAGTTGGATGAAAGATTTAACAATAGATTCTGTAGTTGATTTATTGGATAAAAAGAGAAACCCAGAAGTAAAAAAAAGGATATATATTTGAAGTAGATTTGGAATACCCCCCTAATCTATGGAAATCACATAATGACTATCCTCTAGCACCTGAAAAAATGATTGTTAATGGTGTTGAAAAACTAATTTGTCATTTTAAACCCCGAAAAAACATTGTTGTACATTATCGAAATCTAAGGCAATATCTTGAGATGGGAATTAGACTAACTGCTGTTCATAGAGGAATATCATTCTATCAGAATTCTTGGATGGAACCTTACATAACAAAGAATACTGAACTTAGAAAAACAGCAACCAATAGTTTTGAGAAAGACTTTTTTAAACTAATGAATAATTCCGTATTTGGAAAAACAATAGAAAACATAAGGAAACGACAAAATATAATACTTGTTGATAATCGCCAGAAAGCTTCAAAATTAACAAGTCGTCCAAACTTTGATAGGGCAACAATATTTGATAAAAATCTTATTGCAGTTCATATGAAAAAAACTGAAGTATACTTTAACAAACCAGTATACGTTGGACAAGCAATTCTAGATCTGTCAAAAACATTAATGTTTAATTTTCATTACACTATATTCAAAAGAAATATAAACACAGGGCTGAGTTATTGTTTACAGATACTGATAGCTTGATGTACCAGATTTATACAGATGATTTTTACAAAGATATATCCCATGACATAGAAACCAAGTTTGGTACGTCAGATTATCCTCCTGACCACCCATCTGGAATACTGACAGGAGTTAACAAAAAAAGTTATTGGTATGTTTAAAGATGAAGTAGCAGGAAAACAGATTACTTATTTTGTTGGATTGCGGCCCAAGCTATATAGTTTTAAAATAGAGGAAAGTAAAGAAGTTCGTAAATGTAAAGGTATAAAGAAAAATGTTGTAAAAAAGGGAATAGAATTTGAAGACTATGTTCATTGTTTATTTTCTGGTGAAAAGCAAATGAGATCTATGAAAATTATAAGAAGTGAAAATCATGATATATATTCAAAAGAAGTAAATAAAATAGCTCTGAGTAATGAAGATGATAAGCGCAGTGTGATGGAGGACAAAGTAAAAACACTTGCTTTAAGATAATAAGATATAAATAATAAATGACTTACACAAAAGAAGAGATAGAAATATATCTAGAAATATTAAGAAGTTATAATACCAAATCAGAAAGGGAAAAAAATACAAAAGTTAGATGTAGGAATTGTCAAAGCGATAGTTTCTTTGTTGAATCAGGTTATAATATTTGTGATTCTTGTGGAACAACTAATGGCCATGTTCTTGGTTATTTTGACTTGAAAGAGTACGATCGATTACATTTTCGAGAGAAGAGTATTTATCAGAGAAAGTATCACTATGAAAAAAAGGTTGATCAAGTTTCCAGAAGACTACACCTAACTGAGGATCAAAAGTGTGAACTATACAATAAACTCATGAATATAGATAATCACGTCATGGAAATATTAAACAAACAATTTTGTCAGAAGAGAATGATAAGCATTTTTTATCTGATCAAAAAACTTTTGGAAGAAATGGGTTGTGAAAAGAGGAGACTAGTTTATCTAAAGATTTCCGACCAAACTATGGAGAATTATGAAAAGTGGTGGGATAGTTACAAATCACTCCTTTGTGAAAGCACCAGTAAATAATTCCAGTTAGATAACCAAGTACTTCACATTCTTTAAATGGTGTGTTGATTACATATACACATCCTCTACCAATCCTACACTGTTTCCAAAAAGCGTGAAAAGCGAGACTAAATATTAAGTGATTAGTAAGAATAGTTGAGTTTGAATTTAGAGAGTGTCTAGCGTCTGTTAGTCTATAAATAATTTGGTTTATATCTAGTTTCTGTGTGAAATACTTTGAACAGAGATACTGGTAAACAAGACAAGCTTTAATAAAGTTATCTGGGTAAAATTGTGATTTATATGTTGGAAAGTAAAAATTATCATATGCTACAATTGTGTTTATCATTTATATCTTATGATTAGATATTAAAAAATGGTTTAAAGGGATAAAAAGTATTATATAATAAATGAGTTTCGCTACTGTAAAAGCTAATCTAGAAAAGGAAGGAGCATCACTGCTTTATAAATTAAAAGATGAACTTAGAGAAGAGCTAGATGTATTTAGATCTAGGACATCTGAGTCATATAATGAAATAATTATACAAATGCAACGCGATCTTATCATAGCGGAGTCGGTTGCATTACATGAACAACTAGAAAGAGAAGGAAAACCAGTAGTAGATACTTCGTTATGGTATGATAGATATAATAATTATCTTGAACTGATGAATAAATACTCAAATCACTTTGATAAGTTTGTAGATAGAGAGTACATAAAAGACTTTAGAGATGAATTGAAAGATGTCGAGACTAGTCTTGTAGAAACTGCGCCTTCTGGGTCTGTGCGACCTGATTTGAAAAGTATTGTTAGAATATTTGAAGGAATACATATAAACATGGAATTTGATGAAGACTTGCACTTTGATGTGGAAAGATTTGTAAAGCGATATAAAATGTATCAAGATATAATATCTGGACACAGTTAATCTGTCGGTAGTGTGGATGGGAATTAAAATAGGTTTAAAGAGATAAAATTATAATATAAATGGCAAACATGTTTGAAGAAAAGTACACTAATGAAGATTTAGGAATCGAATTGACTTCATATATTGATAAACAGCAAAATGTTTGGTTTCTAGGAAAAGATGTTGCTAAGATTCTCGGTTATAGTAAACCAGAGAATGCTATTGAGAGACATGTATCCAAAAACCATAAAATACGCCAAATTATCTGGTACCCCGTTTCGGGGAGTCAGGTCCAGAACCCCGTTTCGGGGAGTCAGGTCCAGAACCCAAAAAGCTACACCGGTGAAACGCCGGGTCAAGGTAGATGGTGTACGTTAATCGACGAGGCTGGTTTTTATGAACTTGTATTTAGTCCAAAATTAGCGTTTGCCAAAAAATTCCGCGATTGGGTATTTACTACAGTTCTTCCATCTATTCGTAAATATGGACAATACAAACTGTTTGATAGCCCCTGGAATAAGATGATAATGATTGGTAATGAAAACGACCTTCATTATAAAGTTGTGGACCTCATAAGAAGATATTATCCAGATTCTATATTAGTAGCCGGACTGGGTGAAAATCAGGATACTGAGGATAAGAGACTAGATTCATATAAAAAGGGATATATGAGAGGACAGCCTGATTTAATGATACTTGATTATCACAAAGATTATAAAGGTCTCTGTATTGAATTTAAATCACCAACTAATAATTATAATATATCAGAAGCTCAACTGAAGATGAAAGAGAAGTATTGTAATAGTGATTATGCATTTATACTTAGTAATGATTATGATAAGATAAGCAAAAATATTCATAAATATATGGATTGTGTTCCTATTCCTTGTAAATATTGCACAAGAGCATTCATTAATAAAGAAACATTGGAAAAACATTATACAGTTATTCATACAATTGAGAAAAACATCTAATTTCTATATTTACATATATAGAAACTAAAGGGTGCCGTCAAAACGACGGGTCCTAGTTTATAAAATTTCCTTAAAGTAGCGATAATGATCTAAGTATTTTTCACATTTTTCATACAATTTTGTATCACGATTATGTCTTTTTTAATAAAAAAGACAATAACAATGAGCTTTCATCCTCATTAAATCTAAGTCATCTGAAAGTATAGAATCAATTTCTTTACAAATTTCATCTCCATTTAAAGCTAGAGCCATATTATATCTGCCAATTATATTTTCTTTTAATTTATCTAATTCATCCATTTTATTATATGCTTACATAAACTTTTTATTATATTTCTTAACAAATCTATCTGCTAGAGGAGTTTGATCGATTATCATTTCATCTATTAGTTTCATTCGGTCGATAAAATCTTGCTTGTTAAACTCATCACCCCTTAGAGCTGATCTCAATTCTACGAGAACTTTTTCATATGTTGTAAATGCAGTTTGCGTCATTTCCATTTTCTTCTTATAATTCTTCATTTTTGCAATACTTGCTACAATTACCCCGGCGCCATTTATTACACCGAGTGTTACTAGATTTAGTGTTATTCCTCCAGTGATGGTTCCTATCACCACTAATCCTCCTCCAGACAGTGTAAGTGTTTCATCAAGAAGTTTATATCTTTTGTACGACCGCTTAAAACACCAGTATTTCTTGTGATAATGTTTGTAAAAGTCTTTGAGAGTTGTGACGTCTGATTCTGATAGAGATTTATCAATGTGATTGAATTCAAATATATCCTTTATTTATATTTACACTATATAAGATCCACTTAACTTTTCTTGGAGCATTACTTTGTGGAATTGATTAGAGTCAAAGTCGTAAAATTTTGGAGAATACATTAATTTATTTAACACTCCATCTTCAGTTGTAAACTTCAACGTTGATTAACATTGTATTGAACGGCTGGTATAGTTAATGTTGAGCTGTAGTTACTTATTGAAGCTTTTGTGACATTTGTATCAAAATTTTCTGTTAGCCATAAAACAATTCTTTTTCCATTAAAACTACTTAGCATGGGAAAACCTATTTTTGTTTTATTGATAACTAAATTTACTGAATTGTTTGGTTTATCATAGTATAAATGTACTAAAATATTATTGTTTGTTGATAAATATTTAGTTAGGCTAAAACTCCTATTTCTCCAATGACTAAAAACAATACATAAAGTATCTACCGAAGAATGAGAAGGGGAAAAAGTAACATCATAACCATTAACATTTAATCCTTCATATCCTATATCACCTAGGTATAGGAATTAACTCTTTTACCATTCCAACTGTTGCAGCACTATTGGTCTTAGGTTTCGGGTCTTCGTTTTCGGGTCTTAGGTCTTAGGTCTTAATTTTCGGGGGTCTTAGTTTTCGCAACAACCGCCGACGAACTTCACAAACCAATCACAAGAAACTTTCAAAAGAGATCAGTGGTTTCAAACGGAATTGATGATATCTGGGCTGCTGATTTGGTAGAAATGCAAAAGTTTAGTAAGTGGAATAAAGGGATTAAATATCTTCTAATGGTTATTGATGTTTTTAGCAAGTATGGTTGGATTAGGGGACTGAAAGATAAAGCATTTGAGGACATATTCAAAAGTAAACGTAAACCAAAGATGTTATGGACTGATAAAGGTTCTGAGTTTATCAGTAAACATTTCAAAGATTTTCTGAAAAGAGAGGGAATTAGGTTGTATCACACTGAAAATGAAGAAAAATCAAGTGTTGTTGAACGATGGAATAAAACAATGAAAAACAGAATGTGGAAGATGTTTACTGTGAACAACAACACTGTTTACTGGGACAAGATAAATAAACTAGTTAATGATTACAACAACTCTAGGCATTCTAGTGTGAAAATGACTCCTGTTGAAGCTAGTAAAAAGAAAAATGAAAATAAAGTTTGGACTAATTTATACGGTGATTTAATCTACTTGAGACCTGGTAAACCAAAGTTTTCTATTGGAGACAAAGTTAGAATTTCTAAGTATAAGAGAAAGGTATTTGATAAAGGTTACACACCAAACTGGACAGAGGAGATATTTGTGATTAACAAAGTTTTACCAACAAAACCTGTTACATATAGTATCGTTGATTTGATAGGAGAAGAGATTAAGGGTTCTTTCTATGGGCAAGAATTACAGAAAGCAAAACAGCAGACATTTAGAATAGAAAAAGTTATCAGGAGGGATAATAAAAAGAAAATGGCACTAGTAAAATGGAGTGGATATCCTGATAAATTTAACTCATGGGTGAGCTCTAAGGATTTGGTTGATTTGTAATACAAATAATGTATTAAAAATAAATCCTATGATTACTCAGTTTCTTCTTTATCAGAGATAACTAAGTCTTCAACTACTTCCTCACTATCCTCTTCCTCTTCCTCTTCCTCTTCCTCTTCAATTGTTAGTAAAGGCTCTCTAGGTTTTAATGGTTTGACATAGCACTCATGTACTTTTATTTGTAAAGATGTAACAGTCTTACTTATAAAGATTCCTTCGATTATCAGTGCCATGCGTACATTGCAGTACTGATCAATATATCTAAAAGGATTTAAATCTTTATTTCCCTTTGTCTTAAAACAAAGAAAGAATTTTCTTAGATTTTTCTGAGTAAATAAGTCTTGCGTAGAGAACTGGTGCGGATGAGGGGTCTATTCTTGTTTTCTTCTTTCCTTTCTTATCTGTATATTCTTCCTGTTTGTAATAAAATGGTGAAGATAGAGTTGATGCTAGATCTGCACCGTATTCATTCTCTAGATGTTGCTGGCAAATATTTGTTATATTGTTAATAGCGTCAAAAAATGCTTTTTCTTTAGTATTCGGCTCACTATCTTTAGCCCAAAGGCATACTGGAATACTGTAACCTACTAACTTGTTTGTTTCTTGGTTTTTCTTCTCGTTCACACCAAAAGAGAAAAGAAATGGAGTTTCAATTACCAAAGCTCCTTTCTTTCCATTTGGATATTTGACTTCAATTGGGATACGTTTGTATTTGATCTTGCTATCTTTCACTTTGTATTCTTTAGCTTCATTAAAAACAATATTCTCTGGTGTTAGATGATCGTAACTGGATAACTGCATTTTATTATATATTCTTATTCCTTTAAATCACTTTTTAATAAATCCTTCCATATTATAAGCTATAATACTTCCTACACTTAAATTTATTTCCTTATATTTCGTAAACCATTCGTCGTCAAATCTAAGAGGAAGTGGTAAACGAACAGCAAGTCCATCACTACCATCATCTGAAATACCAGTTTTACACAATAATACTAAACACTCTTTATTTTTTTCATAATTCTCAAATTCTGTACCATCAATATTAATTTTATCAAGATAAAAGCCTGATTTTAATTTTTCATTTATATTAGATAAAATATCATTCTCAACTAATGAATCTTTCATTTTATATATTACTTAGGTATCTTTAAACAATAATTCAATTTTCTGGCCAGAGTAGATTTACGCTCCAGAAATTAGCCGATTCAGGATAAGTATAAGTTAACTCTCCCTGTTTGTTTTTAATCTTTTTAGCTCGAGTGAGATACCTTTCTTTTCGCTCTTTGTCTTTGTGAATTAAAAAATCTGGATAATGTGATGACCCAAAATGAATTTTCTTTCCACCTGGAAGTGTTGCCATGTATTTGTTATTTTTTTAGCTTTACTGGTTAGTTTTTTAAACTCTTTACCTGAAACAACATATTTATCATCATCTGATGAATAAGAATCTTTAGGATCATATGTTGGCTCCTCATCATGATTCTAACCATCATCAACTATAAAATCTATGTCTTCTTTTGTAAGAATATCGTTTTTGAATTCCATTTTTATTAAATGATTGGATTAATTATTCATTTGTTGGGTGAACTGCTCTCTATTAAATTCCTCTAATTTTCTAAGCCATTCTTCATCTAAAATTATAGGAACAGGAATATCTACAAATTCATCGTTATCAACATATTTCATAGAAACAGTAACATATTTCCTTGTATCATCATACCAACCAAAACCAGAAATTTCATATCTTCCCACGTTATCACCATCATCATGATCACTATTACACAATCCTAAATCTTTTTCTAGATTTTTTTTCCTTTCATAAATTTCTTCATTTCTAATTTCTTTCACTTCTTTAGGAGTATAAAGATGAGTAAACATAAGATATTTACAAAAAGGATCTAATTCTTCATCATCCGCAAGAGCTTTAATAACACCAGCAATACTTCTCTTTGCTGTATCAACAAAACCTTCTAAATGAATATGAACATAATGCAGCCCATACTTATCTTCTTTATAAGGAAAATTAGGACATGTTGTTATAGGTCCCATATTATGAAAAATACCATAATACCTTGCTAATCTTTTTGCTAATTTAATCTTATTCTCATCACCACTCTCTTTTATTTGTTTCATTGCTTCACTCATTCTTTTTTTTCTTTCTTCTTCTTTCCATCCACATTCAATTGTAATACCTTCATTTTCAAATTCTTTAAGCACCTCAAAAGTTTCTTCCATTTTATATTAACTTTTTAATTCTTAAACCATCATTTTATACATTTTATAAAACTATGGAAAATTAAGTCTCGTAACAAACATTGTTATAAGACTAATAATCATTCATTTCATTTATCCTTGATTCCAATTCTAAAATTCCCTCAATAAGTATTTCATCATTAAGAAACAAACCAAGCTCATAAAAACCCCCGAACAATTATTTTATCTTTGTTTATGATTAAATCAACAAAATACCAATCAACAATCTTAAGCCTGTATTCTGTAGGATTATTAAAATATTCAATTATATGATTTACCAAACTCAGAATCATTTCATAAATAATAATCTTACCCCAATTGTCGTCATGGACTACTTTTTGAATTTTGAATTTCATTATAGCCTCTTCAATATATATCTTAAGATTTCCTGCTAATGTTAAATTATCAATCCCTCTTATAAAAAGATATTCATTTCTATAATCCCTTGCATAATCTGGGATTTTAGATTTACTTTTTGAAATATTCGAAGTCGTCGTTAGGATACCCATTTTACTAACTACTGTAGCCAGGCTGTCGCAGCATTTGATCTTGTTTACTGCTCCCTGTCTGTCCTCCGGTTTGTCTTTTTCCTTGACATTAGTAAGTAGTTGTCGTTAAGTGGTTATCGGTATGTGTGCAACACGTTACATTGTAAGCTTGTATTATACGTGCCTCCGATGCACGGTATAGTCGCTGTAGTAGCAGGACCAGAGTTGATGTTGGTCTGGGTGTTGGAATCAGTGTTACTGTGAAGTGTTCCGTCTGAAAAATTCCGTGTTGTAGTTGTTTTTCACTAAAAACGCTGTTAACGTAGGCAGTCTCGTCTTATAGGCAGTCAGGTGAGTCGCAAACTAGTGGCGCTCGTCTCGTCAAAGTCCGTATAGTTGTAGCCTTGTGAGAGGTCGGGTTGCACGATGACTGGTCTAGTAATCGGTCGGTATGTGTCGGTTTTCTGTAAATTGTCGTTCGTAGTCTGTTATTGTCGTGAGTGATCAAGCAGTCTAGAAAAGGTATTTTACCATCGGTAAACTTAATTTCTGCGTTCTGTATGTGAAGGTGTTCGTGAAAATCGCCCATTTGGTCTTTGTATACAGCGGTAAATGTGTCATCAACGGGTAGGTACGTGGTGTAAGCATTATATAGTGGTTTGACGTTGGTTAATATATACTATGCCTATTTGTAGCACTGTACTGCATAGCCCTACATTACTCTACATGCCGTACATAACCCTACATAACCCTACATAGCCATACGCAGCCATACATAGACATAAATAGCCATACATACACATACATAGCTATACATAGCCATACATAGTCATGCATAGCCGTACATAGCCCTACATAGCCCTACATAGCCCTACATAGCCCTACAAAGCTATACATAGCCCTACATAGCCCTACACAACCCTACATAGCCGCACACAGCCCTACATAGCCTAGCCTCCCAAGCAGGCGTTTTTAGGGGAGCTCGTTTTTCATCCCTCCCCACAAACGCCTGCTCAACCGAAAACAACATTACTTTCCCATTGTTTTATTTGCGTGATAAGTGACCAATCAACAGTTGTGAAATATAGCATTGACAACCTACAACAACAAGAACGAGCTTTGTTTGCATGACCATACAAACACATACAGTATTGCATGGCCATAATCTAAGATCTTGTAAGACTAACCCAGCGCACCTCAGAATACCTGTATCACGCACTGTTAGGCACAAACAATCATTTATTCCTAGAGGTGCTAATCTTAACTTAATTTGATATGTATATATAATATGTAGTGTTTTGAATTTTTATTGTAATATTACCGTAATTCTTATCGCCAAAGGTAATAAATAAAGGTTATTATTATTATTATTTATATTTAGGAATCAGAATTACAACACAGGGCAATTACGTTACTTTGATAATAATTTGTCACGAATATCAAAACAGCGGAAATATATTTTATGAATTGTTTATTGATAAAGTAATTAGAAGAATTATTTCAGTTAATTTTTATTTTTCCATTGTTTCTGGGTATGGTTATGTATGCTGATGAAAGCAAAGGAAAAACAAAAATTAACTGAAATAAAAAATTAACTGCAACATATTCACTAACATGTAATTCACCTAAATGTCGCCTTTTTCTCCTTAAGTCGCCTATAGTCGCCTTAAATCGCCTTAAGTCGCACAAAATTTTGACAAAATTTTCCTAAAGTCGCATAAAATTACGGCGACTTAAGGTCCAAGAGTAGGCCTATAGCCATACATAACCCTACACAGCCATACATAGCCATACAAAGGCGCCCTTCCCAGCGGAGTTGGCGGACTTGTCCCTTCATGTAAAAGGTGCGCAAAAAAATGAACGTGGAAGGGTCTATTTCACAACGAGGTAGAATCACTAGTTGCTTTATTTTGTTACACCATTGGTGTCCGTAATAATTTCACAAACTAGCTTGACCGTTCTTTACGCGGCCGTTTTGGCGATCAGGAACTGCTAGTAGTATACTATATTGAAACTTAACCGTTTTGGTGTCTTCCCCTGTCTTCCCTTAATTAATATGTATAAGAATCGAGTCTATGACGTCACCCATTGTTATAACCTAGGGAAAAAAAGTGCCTTCCTCCATACTAATTAAGTGCCTAGTCACTGCCTTCCTCCATATTAATTAAGTGCCTAGTCAGTGTCTAGCTAGCAGGGTAAAAATGCGGTTTATAACGGTAAGTCCGACATTGTTTTTTTTTTGGCATAAGTTAAATAATACAGCTGAGAAAACACATCCACGAGTAACAACTGATCAACAAACATGAAAATAAGAAATGTGGAAACTATTACAGACACAAGATTCTCTCTAAAACCATGACCCTTTTTGTACACAGGAACAAAAATAGACCCGCAATGCGTGCGTGTAGCTACTGCGTTCTTGTTTGCATTACAGCTATTTTAGAAAAGGTTGTCGTAAGGCCTACGGGCCCATACCACTAGGTATTTTAGGCGTGTACGTTTGGGTACTCATAGAGCGACAACCTTTTCTGAATTAGCTGTATACAGCTATTTCATCTAAGGTTGTCGCGGCTCAAGTGTACACACCCAGACCGCAAAGGAGCATGTGAGGTAAAAATAAGTGGTTTTTCGCAAATGACTGACATTCTGTAACACGGAAGTTGGTCGGGGCTCGGCCCAAACAACAGGTTTGTACGACTCGACAATATCTTTTCGAAATTTTATTTTCAATGGATTTTTCTCAGCGCGCTCAGATGCAGCTAACAATAACATAAACATGAGGCATTGTTTTCTCATCAAGATATAACTCTTGTGTAACTGGCGTCCGGTTTGTTTTTAATGAGGTACGTAAACAATCTCATACCACTCTCTGTAAAGGCAAGTTTATTGGTTCCCGAAGGAAAAAGCTAGTTCCAAAGATGGAATTAGGCGATTCTGATAACAGGTCACTGGTTACCACGAGCAGTACATGCAGTATTTCGGGATGTTTGGCTGGAGAAATCACTCGGCCGCCATGTTCGACAAAATCTTGGCAACTCACACTCAGCGATGTTTTTGAAGTCCAAACTTTGTTTGAACCTTCAACACCCCTGAAAAACACTTTAGGAGAAAACACTGGACATAATACTTGAATGCTTTGCCTAATAATACGCAGAAAATAACAAGAAAACATGGCAAATCTTACCTTTTATCGACAATACGTAGAGCATTCACCATTCGCGGTAGGGAACACGAGAAGAAATGCAACGTTGCGAAACGTTTCACAGTCAATATTTTTACGGAAAGAGATCGCACTTTTACGGAAAGTGGTCGGTGAATCCGCTTGTTACACTAGTATTTATTTATTTGACACAAAATGACGTACTACCAGATTCAAAGTAAGAAAAGCTCTAAACAATAAGTTTGTTTGTGTTTTTATAACCTGTAAAGTCTATCGGAATTGGATGCTTATCAAATTTACTACCGGCATTATCGTGCGCCTAGAAAATCGATCGTGATCCGAAGGTCTCCGAAAGCCCTCGTAAAATCGACTCTATCCATCAAAACGATAGCATTGTAGCTACTCGCGCATGCGCAGTAGCTACAAAAACGGTTCGGTTTAATTACATTCGCAGTTCTCGCAGGTAAGTACCACAAGAAATTCAACCCTAGATAAAAGATTTCCCAGCCTGAATTTCAGACATCGTCTAGAGTTGAAGGGATGACTGAAATTCAGGCTAAAAGATTTCTCTAGATAGCTTTTCACCGTTTTCCGTTATCAATCGAAAAAATCACTTGATCGCTAACGATTTTTATCGATTTCGATTTTTTTCTGCTGGCTACTCCGGGAAGTAACTACATGTGGAACTGATGTTATTTTGAAACTGGAGGCAGATCTAAATCGTGAAGAAACTGGGAAACTATAAACCTGGCCAATATCGGCCATCAGAAGAAGACTTTAAAGCGGGTTTTAAGACTTTTTAAAAAAAAGTGGTGATAACCTGTTTAATCCTTCGACTCTCAATTACAACTCAATTATCAACAAATTCGCCGTTTGCATGAAATCAGTTTTCATTTTTGGATGAACAGAAGAACAGATCTATCTTCCGATATAAATTGATGGAATCGGTAAAATCTAGATGAATCGATAAACGAAACGAGTGTGTCATCGATTTCTACCGATTGATCGATACAATCGATATCAATCAAAACAGATTTACCGATTTTTATCGATTGACTACTCCGGGGCCATAGGCGGAACACTTTTTATTTGAGGCCTTGATTTTGTTCTACTCATCTATAGGAGGCTAGAAAACAGTAGGAACACAAGAGCCGAAACATTCATGGTAGCCATGTAGGGCTATGTATGGCTATGTATGGCTATGCAGGGCTAGCTAGGGCAATATATGGCTATGTAGGGCTATG